AAAGGAAAGGTATAATGATGAAAGCTGAGATTTTATTCAAACACCAAGCATTCGATAGACAAGGTGAGGAAGCCCGTAATGTAGGGATTTTATTCTCCATGTCAAGTCGAGACAGCTGTTTGTTATGTGATCATTAGCCGAATCAAGTGATATATATGTCCACTTCAATCCCTATCTTGTTTGGTTTCTTACTCAAGTTCAGTAGCCAGCTGTACATATCTTTTTTGTTTGGCAATACATTTTTTCATTATACTTATTTTACTTTATTCATTGAAACACACGCCACATAGATAGCGCAAACGCCTTTTAACAATGAATTAGTGATTACAAAAGCATAAAAACCCATTAACAATGAATTCCAGTTACATTACAGTGATAAACTCTTTAACATTAACTCTTACTATTAACTGTAGTATGACAGAACATAGAAGAAGAAATACTAAGCTAAAAACAATACAAGACATAAAGATATCAAAATAGAAAAAGAAAAAAACCTTCAATACTGATTAACAGATTAACTTTTCAACTTTGACAAAGATTTATGTTGATACTGTGCCGCTCACTCTCGCCAAAAAAGACAGCACAGTGCAACAGTTCCTTTTTTATGACAAATATAACACATATACATAAAAACTAAGGTTAGCAAATCATCTAGGTAGAGTCCCAAAGCCTCTTAGATGGATGTTGTACATTTAGAAAGGTGGTATAAAATTCTCCAAGTGCCTGGTGGTCGACACACGACCTCTAGACACGAAGACTTCATTGTTAAAAGGTGGGTCTGGTTCGTGAGTTGAACTGCTTGTCGTAGACTTTTCGTCTCGAATGGCCTTGTCTTTGCCTTTTTGGGGACTGGTCACCTCTCGGGATGTACCGAGTGATGGGAAGGTTTTCTTTGTGTTTGGTACATGGTACTCCTTTTGGAGGTGAGAGTAAATCTGCCTGTGTCTTCTGGTGGTTGTAGCACACCCTCCAATGGAACAAGTCATCAAGCTCTGATGTTCTTTGGACTTTACATTTATTTACAGTGGTGTGCTACTGGCATCAATGAAGGCTGCTGGGTGGCTTGAAGGCTGGGATCCCCAAGTTTTGGCTGCCTTACTATTGTTGGAGTCATCGTCACGTAGTTGCTGTTCACTCTCACCCATCTGCCCTCCACTGTAGAAGGGATTTGTGAACCCATGAAGACTGCAGGACTAAACCAATCACAGAAAGACATAGCAAGCTCGCCTATGTTATTATACATTGGCCAGCAATGCATCTCTAACCACACTTCAAGCCATTTCTAGATGCCCTAGCTTCATTGGCTCTCTCACCCAAGAAGAAGTTATGCACTTCCGGTAGCTTCTTGGTGGCTTCATAACTGAAGGAATGGATCCATCATGAGCACTTGTTAATGGAAGTCGATGAATGAAATTCTCTAGAATACAGGGTCTAATCGGGCACATTGGTTGGTTAAAGGAAAGAGACTGTTCAATACCAAACACTGATCTTAAATACCAGAATTACGAGCTCAAATATAAAGGCTGACTGAGTATTAATTGATCAAAGGTCCAGTTGAGTGTATATGTTAAAGAGGGTTATAAAGCTCAGTTCTAGTCATAAATGAAATACTGGTCATATGACGTGTATAGGCATAATGTATACTGACATTCATCTTCACCTATAAAACATGTCTGTGATTAAAGAACTTCCCATTCCCCTAACTTCACCGAGTCTCCATTCGACCAGCTACATGTGGCTGTGTTTCCCACTGCTATCCCTGCCAGACAACAGGAATGCACATGCCAGGCTCTCTGACCCATCCATTTCTCCACCCAGCCATTTTTTTTGTCCAACAGATAGCTCCTTGTTTCAGTAAGAAGGAATAATGGTCAATACTTTTTGGATTCTACATTGTCAAGCTGACTCAAAACAGATGTATCAACCTCATCTTTGCTAATGCTTTCATTATCCTCCTTTATGGACTTTTTTTCCATTACAAATCATCTGTTGGTTATGGAATAAATTACAAAATTTCACCACACGTGTAAAACATTCTACCTACTCTATTACACTTAAGCCAGCATTTTCATGTCTAAAAATTGTAGTGGAACAATGCTAAAAAATGTGTTAGGTAAAACTATTTATTCATGAAAGATTTCTCAATTTGCCTGACTGAGAATATTCTTATCACAACTAAATAAAGGACTGACTGCACCACATGTACATATTTTTTATAACATCTAAGCTATTGCTTATAAAATTCATGTACTACTGACAATCGCACTAACTCCCGAATATTTCAACTCTATACAATTGAAATATTCTTACAATATGCTCTTGAGAAACACCATGAAAAACTGTACCAGAATCCCAGTCAAAGTGTGTTTTCAATTACCTCCATTGTCTTCTCATGAAAAATCCACAAACCTGCTAAATATCTCATTGTTGAAACTAGAACATTCTCTCAGCATTAATGAAAACTAAAGAAGGACAACTTTGTTCTTCAATAATACCTTCCAGATTATCTTATTAAAGTCAATCTCTTATTTATCAACTCTTGATGTCGAGATCAAGCGCTTTGTCTACAAGCTCTCTGATTTCATATTTCCTTTACCTCTTATTACTGTCATTTCTTATCATTTTCTGTGTGTTCTTTCTTTTATTTCAATTTGTTTAAAACACCCATGAAGGATACTATGTAATGTTTACAACACTTGCATGTTTGTTTACATATGCCCACTGACATATATGTATGCCAAAAGTACTCTTGTAGTTTATGCACCTTGCTTCGCCTCCAGTCACTACCTGGACAACTTTTGTAGTTCTAGGTACATGCTGAAGATATGCTCGGTAGAAACTGTAATGCCATGTTGAGGCTGTCAGATTTAATTCATTTTATTGATGCTTCACAAAATACATAATCACTAGTAAAATTTGGACAAATCGAGGTTTTTGGACTAAAAATATACTTGATGAAAGTTTGAGCACATTCAAAAATATCTCGACTTTCTTGCTGACCATAGATATAGTATATATATATCTCATCAAGACTGATGAAAAATCCAGCAAGAACTGGGCAATATACTCTACAGAGTCTTCACCACTCCACTAGCTTTCCGAAGTGATTTTCTAAAACTATTTAATTAAATTTTGTGCCAGAAAATCTACTCACTGACTTGGAAAGCAAGACATCACAATGTTCTTTTGACAAGCAGTCTTAGAACTACCAGGTCATCCTAGCATTTGAAAATCGAGTAGTATTCATCAAATGCAAACCATACATTCTATCATATCTTCCTACCTGATGTCTTGGAGAGCAAAAAGCACCACTTCGTTTCAATATCAGGTGCCCGACATAAATATTCTAGCTGTGAAAATTGTGAGGCTGATGTTGGTGTATTAATCACTGATTGAAATTTGCAGAGTATCCAGTTTCAACAAAACCTTCTCTGGCTTCTAAAACACTGCCATATGTGCTGCTTCCTCTTTACTGTTAGGTGGGTCATGATGAATCGAAATGCATCCTCGTCTTTTCCTGACTCGTTGGTCTACTCCCAAGACTTCCAGTCAAGCCAATGCACCAAGGAATTTTCTGTAATTTATGAACATGGCATATATATGTGCCCATGGTACTTTCGTGCAACTTGCATCTGTTGTGTCTTATATATTAGAAGACCAACTCATTGGAGTACCATGTATGAACCAGTCCATCTGGTTCTCAAATGCTTCTGGTACATGACAAATCCATACCCAGTTAGTATATTGGAACACCCATTCCTTCATCATCCAGTCGTAACATCTCTTCTATCATTGTGCAACCTTCACAAGATACTGTTGAGTATATCTGTATGCATTGGCCATTGTGTATCTCAGTCACTCCATATATTAGTGGGGCAATGGGATACCTGTGGAGGACCATGCATCATATTCATGGGGAGTGATACTTCCTATTCAAACATGAGAAAATTCAGTAAAAAGTCTGTTGATCCCTGTTCTGTTGCTCTGGATGACATTACTTATGGCAAGTATTCATTCTAGTGGGTTCTTGCGGGTTCAACAAACTTTGCAAGTATCTATTTGGAAGTTTATACAGTCTGGTCTGGGAATTCATAAGTTTTTGGTTGTCATACAAAATTCACACAAGTGCAAAACATTTTTATAATTTGCAGCCAAAAAAATCTGTTGCCGGAAATTAGGACAAGTGCGTGACACACGATGCTCTCTGCTTCTTGTATTGTGTAAATTATGGAATATATCTTGGCATAGAGTTCTGGTAATCACAAAGTGCAGCAATACTGGAGCACCCTGTCTTTCAAGCTGGTAACAATGGTACAGCACACATTCTTGTTCTAATATTTGCCCATACAAGTACCATAGGTTATGTGTATTTCTGCTACACTCCTCCACTAGTGGTGGGTAAGTTAGCCTTTTCTGGGCCATAATGATATCCACACTAGGTCAAGCTCTTTTAGTTACTTAGCTTGGAGCTCCTGAAATATCAACTTTGGCATCCATTCTCCAGTGGAGTCGTCTACTAATTTATGACTTTATCTCTTGCATGCTGTCCAGAATTAGGACATTTCAATAATGGTCAAGGTCTCACCAAGCAGTGAGATAGTCCTGCATCCTGCATTTGTATGCTGGCCCAGGCAATGAACCATGATGAAGCCATATTCTTACAACTTTGTTACAAATCACATTATCGTCTCTGCTGAATTTTTAAAATTGTTAACCACTGGCATTTGAACATCCACTAAAGATAGTTTTAGGGATTATAATACTTGGTTGCACACCTCACTCGAACTTTCGTAAGAGCTGCTGCTTGGTGCTACTATCATTGAAAAATTGGCCAATTGATAATACAATACAAAGCCAAAAGAACTGCAGACCTCCTGCTTTGCCATAAGTCAGGTCCACTCTCTCACTGCAGCTATCTTAGCTTGGCTATTCAAGAGTCCATTCATCCCAACTATGTGGCCAGGAAACTCCCGCTATGTTTAGTGAGCATAAGTGAGTACTTTCTGGACTTCATTTTCTGGCTTACCTTTCTCAGGCACTGGAATGACATTCTCAGGGGCTTGAAGACGTGGACAAACACCAAAACCAGGCACCTTTCCCATTACAATCCTTTGAGAGTAAGCTCCATTAGCCCGTCAAATGTGGCTGGGACATTACACAAACCAAATGGCATGACACGGAATTGAAATAAGTCATCTTTCATGTTGAAAGGAGTTTTTACTCTGCTTTCATTTTTTATCTCGACTTATCAATATCCAGGCACCAGATCTAAGATATTAAATCAATGGGAGCCTACTAACGTTCATCTGTCTTTGGTAATGTAAAAAATGTTTATGCAAGTTACCATGTTTACTTGTCAGAAGTCTATGAAGGACCTTGGTGTACATTCTGTATGACAATCACCAATGGTGATAAACAAGCCCTTTTGGAAGGTTGCATGATGCCTTATTGCAGCATCTCACTACATTTCAGCTCTTGTGACTTCCCTATTGTCTACAAAAGTCAGTGCAGTGGTTGATTTATAGGGGTGCATGACGTGTACTTAAATGGTGTCCATTTACTGTTGTTTAATCCAGTCAGCCATCTATTCCTACAAACACATTGCATATTCAACAGACAAGCCACTGAGTTGCTCTCACTGTCTTGGGTCGAGATTGTCAGCAGTTTTAAATCAATGTTCTTAGATGTGTCAGTAGCCCTGTATTTGCATGATGGATGTGACCCTAGTTTTTCTATTAGTATCAGTCACTTTCACTTTGCTCACTGTACCTATGATTGTTCCAACATCCAGCTCAGAAGCAAAACAACATCAGAACTTCATCCTTTGTCAGGTGAATCACTGTCCAAACTAGTGTTGCATGGTCCACTGCTATATGATGACAAGATACTCGTGAAGGGTCATCATACAGTTCTACTCAACCCCAAGTATTAGGTGATGCCAATGACTCAGTGGGGAAGTTCTCCATATCTCTTGGTGCCTTGGGCCATGGATCATTGTCTTTATCCATATGTGCCTGCTGTCTCAACTGTTAGGGAGACAACTCTAACTGGCATAATTCTTACATCAGCAGCACGTCTAGACTATTCATTCATCACTGGTGGTTTTGTCCAGAGATGGGGTTGTTGTGCTTTCATTGGCGATAGACTTAAACTTTGACAGATACCTCTTCATGCGATTTCGAACTCGCCAGGTGCTTCACCATTCCAACAGTCCTCAGTCATCTGCAATTGCCTGTTGCTGAGATCAACCATGAGGGGAACAACCTATTCGTAACGTCTGAGTGCACCAGATACGGGCAGGTCTTTCTGAGTTTGTATTTGCAGGCTTATTGATATCATCGACTTTCAAAGTACTGGAAAAAATTCTGTATCCAGGAGGGGGACTCCTCTTAGTCTCGACACCTCTTTTATTCAAACATCTCTCTCTTAATGACCGCGAGTACTTCTAAAGTCTTAGAAAGCTATTGTCTTCATGAAAGTTTTACTTTAAACTCACTTTGCAGGAGATCAAGTTGGGTGGTGTACATGGTTAACCTCATTACAGGAAAACCTTATATTAAATCCTTGTGTCACAGCACCATATTTTGCTGTTTTTATCCTGTTGTGATATTTGATAAATATAACCTAATGTGCGCGATTTAATAAATCATTTTTTAAATACAATTTTTACAAGACTTAAGCTTATTTAATCAAAAGTTTGTTTATCATCTTCTGCAGGAAATATGCACCTGATTTAATATTGAAAATATATTGATTCGTGTTAGGGATTTTCAAAAATAAGTATTTTTAATCAATTTTTCCAAATCTTAAAATTAAGTATTTTTGTTTTGTACATTTTTGTCCACTTCTAACTGTATTTTAATTCTGGGTTAAACAAAACCAGTTTTAGACATTTCAAAAGAGGTAATGTTTCATTGTTCCTTCAACTTTAATGTTTTGTAAGAATTTTATACCATCTCATTGGCGTATTTCAAATATATATTTTTTTCATTAAATTTTCCAATGCTTAAGCTTCTGTATTTATTTTTTATTGTTAAAATTTTATTGGCCATATTTTTCAATGATCTTTTGCAGAAAAGATGCACCAGTTTTAAAAAATCTCATCAAATCTACTGAGGCTAAAGTTCTGATAGTAGTGTTACGACAGTGGAAGTCACGTGACCCTGGTAACACGTAATGAGTATCTCGAAAGTTCTTGAAGGCTCGAGTGTTTGCCAGACGCCCTCTATTTTGTATATATAAGACCAGCAAGGAGTGACGGCATATATAATTGCAGACAGGCAGAGATAGAGACGGACAATTGAGTCAAGCACGGTAGTCACCGTAAGTAAAGTGCGTGAATCGTTATGAATTATAGCGTGTGTTTAAGTTAAAGTGACTGTGGAAATTAACTGTATTGCAAAGTTGTATTGAGAAAGAATAAAATAGTTTTATTTAAGAAAGGACTTGTGTCGCTAAAGTTTCATCCGAAAGAAATTGTACGGGAAATTAACAAACGATCAGAGACGTAACAGTAGTATGAAAATTTTGGCCCACTTTATATTTTCGTCAAATGTCAAATAAAGTTAAACTCTATTGGGACTTTACAAAGATAGGTTCATTTAAGTTGGAATTTCCAAATCTTATAAGACTAAAATAGGTTCTTTATTTCAGAAGTCAAGTAAAGTTAGATGAGAACAAAATTTTGAAAACAACAAACTGAAATTCCAAAAGATGTAATATTTTTAATAAAATATTTTTGATTAGAATTTTATATCATCGGATATATTATATTTTGTTTCAAGGTAAAATGCTATCTTCTTTTAGTGTTTCCATTTATGTTTTATAAAAATTCCTAAGGCTTAAGCATTTGTACTTTTGTTTGGTGTTTAATGGCCAAGTACGACTTCCACTAACAAGTTCCTTATGTATTGGACTGTGTCGCGTTACAAACAAATATTAAAAATAAATCATACTGCACACAGTTGTATGTCGACAAGAAAGGTAATCTAGGTTGTAAAGAATCTCTGTTAATAAAGTTACATTGTATAAAGTACATTTAAATTTAAACGTATATGACAGTTTTAGCTAATTGGACTAGTATAATCTGAATATTGTAATTAATGGATAACTGGTTGAATTTGATGTAACTGTATAACGTTATACCAAATCTGTGAAAAATTACATAAAATTAGCATTTCGTCCCGCACACAAGGAATTGTTGTTTTAATAATTGAACAAACAAATTATAATAATCCTTCTGTTGGTATTGATATTCAAAATATACAAATGAATCGCAGAATTTTTTAGAGTTCTTTATTAACTTTTCAGTACAACTACTAAATAAACATGAACAAGTAGACAATGAGCTTTCAAACGAAATTCTTAGGCTATCAGATACGTAGAAGAACAATATTAACCACATTTGATTATAAAAGCAGAAGTATCTGTTCGACATGGCGTAAATACCTTCATTTAAAGACGTGATATACTCGTATGTTCTGAATGAATATCATAGTTAGTGTATCAAATATTGGATCACGTTACGGCTGTCTCCATCTACTGAACGTTAATTAAACTACATTAAAAGTATTCAAGAGATGAGCAAAACATTTTATTTCTTTTCACTAAACTACTCAACTGAAAGTTATGTTAAATTAAGTAATTTCAATGGATATGCTATAAAAGGGAAGCGATTTCAATTTGTTAATCAACAGATGATTTCCAGACCTCCTTGGGCAAGGAGTTCAGCTTTCATAATGCTATGCCAGTATAAACTACAACACACCTCTATATTTCAAATAGTTATCTTCATAATAATGTCATCTAGTTGTCTTCACTTCTGCCATGTTGTCAGTATTTTCAAAGGTGTTGTTAAAGCTCTGCATGGAAATAACATTAACGTTAGTTTTTCATTAATACTAAACACCAAAATGCAATAATATCACAAGTATGCAGGTAACAGTTAATAAAATGATCAAGAAGTTATACTAAACACCAAAACGCAAAAAATATCAAGAAATTATACTAAATAACAAAACACAAAAATTATCAAGAAATTATACTAAACACCAAAACACAGAAATTATCAAGAAGTTACACTGAACTAAAAAACAACAAGAAGATAGTTGTACCAAACACCAAAACACAAAAAATTATCAAGAAATTATACTAAACACCAAAACACAGAAATTATCAAAAAGCTACAATGAACTAAAAAACAACAAGTTATACCAAACACCAAAACACAAAAAATTATCAAGAGTTACACTAAACTTAAAACCAAACTAAACCAAACCAGAAGTTATACTAAACTCCAAAACACAAAAAATATCAGTTAGTAAAGTAGGAGGTAAAATATATATGAAATAATACTAATTATTAATTTATAAATATGCATGTAATGATAAATTATACTAAACATTAATTTAAAATAATAATTAACTTATAAGTAAACAGATAGCAGTCAAAAATTAAATTACACACAAGTTATAGTGGACTTTGATATATTAATGTCACAGGTAATAAAAATGGACAAGAAGGCAAATTCATAAAGAAGCTATAGAAAAGACTGATTTATAAATAACACAGTAAACAGGAAAGGACTCAAAACAAAATTAAAAGCAAGTTATACTAAAGATTAGTTTATAAACATCAGAGGTATATGATAGAATAAGATAATAAAACTAAAAACAAATTATACTGTTAAAACAGTGGAAGTCACGTGACTCTGCTGGCGCATGCATGACTGAATTTCTTGAATTATCGGGGAACTCGCGAATTTTGGAGATGCCTCTACATTAGTATTGTTACGTCTCTGTTCGTTTGTTAATTTTCCGTAAAAATTCTTTCCGAAGAAACTTTAGCAATATAAGTCCTTTCTTAAATAAAACTTAGCTTCGGCTATTAGTGATTTCTTCTTCAGATTTGGTATGCCATAAGAACTGCATTCAGATCAAGGTCATAGCCCTGAATCAGCTGTGTTCCATGAATGTTGCAAGTTGTTTAGCGTACGAAAGACCAGGAC